GCTCAGCCAGTGAGCGGGAACCGGTCTGTATGTGGGATCCGAACCCTCGGGCGGGAGCGCCGCTGCGCTTCACAAGCGGCGCACTATCCAGTGCACCACCGGGCCGGCCCACAAAAGCAATTTTCAATTACCGACTGTAATTTTTAAGATCTTCCCAATTGTATCTGCTAACAATTCCTGAAAAAACATGAAGCAGTGTTAGACAAGAACATTCTCATTAGAGAACATTTATCTGTAGATGTTCATGTTCAGATAACTACTTTTAGAATATCAGCAATCCCAATTGTGCTTCAATTTAAATTAATTTGATAGGACAATTCTTTTCATAGAAAGAATGACGTAATACTTAGGCCTCAGTTCTAATCCAGAGGAGAGGTGGGTCGATTCTAGAATGAATTCAAGGATGTATTTAGTTTATTATTGCAAACATATGTGAGAACCTACAATGTGTACTCTACTGAGTACTTGGGATTCAGCAGTGAATAAGAAATGAACCATGTCCACCGTGAGGAGGGGCAGATATTGAAACAGTCAAATACAGTGTACTTTGTGATAGGTAGAATTAATATACACGTCTTCTTGGTAGGACAGGTGAGGGAGAGGTTGATTTCTCCAGCAGGTCAAGCAGCTGGGAAGGCCTCACACAGCATGCGTTATAATGAATGTGCAGGAATTCCTCAGGTGAACAAGAGGAGAATGGTATTCCAGGCAGAGGGAATAGCATGTGGAAAGGTACAGAGGTGTCATACCAGCTAACACTTATTGAGTCCCCTGGCAGTGTGTATGAAGTACTTGACACCATCATTTTCTTTCTTCTCCCTGTGAGGGCACTATTAACCCCATTTGATAGGTGAGGAACTGAGATTTAGAGTAGGTAGCTTGCCCATAGTCACATTCATTGTAGGTGCAGGCTGGGATTCAAACCCAGATTTGTTCTGATTCTAGGGACTGCACCCTTAGCCTTGAGACTGATTGCTTTCATTGTATTAACTGAATTTAAAGTTTGTGGTGGGGGAACTACAAGACAGACCAGGGAATTAAGCAAAACCTAAAATTCAGCCTTTATTTCATTTTTAGGAGATTACTTTTGGCTGTGGGTCTGTATCAGTGGACTTGAGGGTTGGTCTAAGGCCCCCCAGGATGAGAAGCAGGACCATCTGCCTTTGAATTCACTCTTGTCTCTCCCACACTGCACTGTGTTCGCATCAAGAGAGCCCATGCCTTCAGAGGAAGCTGGTGACATGAATTAGAAGTTTAGTTAAGTAATGAATAGTAATGTAGGAAGTTCAGTAGTGTAACAGCAAATTCAAAAGTAGAGATGAAACGGGGGAAATGAAAATGTACATGAGTGTAAAATGAAGGTAGGTAATAGCAGAAGGTGTGAAAAGTGATTAGTTTCTACTTTAGTCTTATACCCCTCTATCATCATTCCCTGTCCTCCACAAAACATAAAGTGCTTAACTGGATGGACTGTATTTTTCTGTTCTCAGTCTAAAAGGGAGCTGTCCCGGGCTGATGGGGTGGCTCTACCATCAACACTTACCAGCCAGAGGGAAGGGAAAGCAGAGAGAGAATACAGAGCAAGTGCCTCTATGAAGATGATCTAGATGGAATATGTATCACTTCTGTTTGTATCCTGAGCTTAGTCACATGGCACACTTGGCTGCAAGGGAGCCTAGGGAATGTAGTCTGTAGCTAGGCAGTTAAGTGCCCTGCTAAGACTTGGGAATTGCTATAATTAAAAGGGAGAAAGGAGAATGGTATTGGAGGCCATAAATTGATGCCATTGTAGGGGCCAAAGGAAAACTTCATCCCTAAAGGTAAAAATCACTGACAGGTTTAGACAAATATGAAGAAAAGGCATAACAGATTTTATTATTTAAAGTTCTGGGAGAGGGCAAAACACGGGGGGGAATCACAAGAGAGTAATGTCCCAGTTTTCCACAGAGGTACAGAGCTTATACACCCATCTCCATAAGGAAGGGGAAATGGGGATGTAGGAGTAAATGGTTCTTGGGGGGACACAGCAGGCCTGGAGAACATAAAACTGCCTGGGACAAAGTCTGTTTGTCCCACAGAGCAGACAATGACTGATAAATGATTTTCTTTGAAATACTGAATGGGACAGAAATGAAAGACAATGGTTTGTGACAAAACTTAGTCCAGGTGTGTTGACAGACTCCGGTCTTCCTTCTTGTGATGAGTTAAGTTAATGAAAACTCAGAGAAAAGCCCAGAGGTCATGTCTTCTTCTTTGGCAGGTCCAGACTTTAGGCAGATATGGGAACAGCTCCATCCCATGCTTTGGAGAGTGACAGGATTGACACACAGGAGAGACCTTGAGGCTGCTTCTTTATCCCAGCATATTTTTGGGGTAACAGCTTTCTGCACCCCAACAATAGTAACACCGACTTATCTTACAATGTTTTTTTGTATAAACTTTCAAGTTCTCTCTCTCTATATATGTTAATTTTTATTATTTATTAAATATTTATTAAAGGTAAATATTTTGGTAGATTTTTAGAAGTTAATAAAATCTGCTGAGCTACTCACTAATTGATTGAAATATACTGGCACCGCTTGGGAGTGTGGCGGTGCTCCCGCCGAGGGTTCGGATCCCACATACAGACCGGCCGCTCACTGGCTGAGCGAGGTGTGGGCGCAACACCGAGGGTTGCGATCCCGTTGCCGGTCCCGGTCCGGTACAGGCGCGACACTGAAGGTTGCGATCTGTTTGCCGGTTGCGATCTGTTTGCCGGTCACGAAAAAAGACAAAAAGGAAAAAAAAAAAAAAAATCTAGTAATGCCTTCTTTCTGAGATGGCAAAACTGGATGGATGTCTTTCCCTGCGTTCTCATGCCTCTGCCTGAGGAGACGAGTTTTGGTATGGAGTAGAACTGGCCATGTTTTCACCAGATAACTTAACCAGACACCAAAGTGTGTCACAGTGAAAACCTTAAGGGCTGCTGGAAGTATTTACTTATTCAAGACATTTGTATTGAGTTTATAAAAATATTTAGATGCTTCCATGCTGGTTGGTAAACAGCTGATGCTCTAAAACTCCTCAGTAACTTTCCTCTTCCTGAAGTACCCTTCCCTGGCCACTCAGCCACTCCCCTTGCCTCCACAATTCTATTTGGTTGGTATCTTTAACTATATTTTCCTGATTGAGCATTTTCAGTAACACTCTGCCCTTTACGGTGCAAGGTGCTGGGGATATGTAGCTGGACAAAGTACAAAGTCCCTGTCCTTCTGGGCTTGCCTGCTTGCTTATTTATTCACACATACCCTGCCTTTTCCGTAGAGGATTGGAGGTGATTGACTAAAACACAGCCTATAAAACACAAAGGATAAACATAAGCCATAGTGCAAATTGGAAAAAAGAGCAAACACAAGGCAAGATTAGCACACCTTCTGCTTCTGCCAAATACTGCTTTCTGCTTATCAAAACAGTGAACAGTGTTAAGAGTCATCATGGCCCCTTCCCCCTTCCTTCCCTTCCCTTCCTGAAGACTCTAGGTACCTTCTGCTTCTGCCAAATACTGCTTTCTGCTTATCAAAACAGTGAACAGTGTTAAGAGTCATGGCCCCTTCCCCCTTCCTTCCCTTCCCTTCCTGAAGACTCTAGGTACGGAAGAGCGAAGTAGTTGTCCACGTTGGTGGGGAAGCTGGAGCAGCCCAAAGTAGGGTGTTGGGGCCTGAGTGGGCTAAGGAGTGAATCTAGGAGTGAGAGCTGCCTGTCACGGGAAAACCAGACACAGAGTAGGGTGCCCGTGGGGGGGTGGGAGTTCAGTGCAGGGCATCAGAGGCTGGTGGGGGGTTATACCAAGAGCAGCTTGGCTTGAGGTGTCAGTGCAGAGGGCATCAGCATGGGAGGCCCGTCTGGGACTGAATGCTATGTTCCCCCCAAATTCACATGTTGAAATCCTAACCCCCAAAGTGATGCTTTTAGGAGGTGAGGACTTTAAGACGTGATTATGTTGTAAGGGTGGAGCCCTCATGAATGGGATTAGTGCCCTTATAGAGAGACCCCAGAGAGCTAGC